TTTTGCTCTCTATTGAGTCTTTTATGAGATAATATGCACAATACAAAAAAGGAATATTCTTAGGAAACAATGGTGGGCTGCAAATCATCAGCCATTGTGCTTGAGCTCTGAGCTTTGTGCAACTGTTGATGCATTTATGGTCAGGGAGGGAACCTTATCAAACAAAGGCTTCAGATTTCCAGCACGAAATCTCGCCGTTTGTCAGGCAGCTCACAAGGACCCACTTTTGCAAAGTCTCAGAGAGAATCTATCTACTATGGAGTGCATTTACGCCACACCTGTGCCGTCAACATGACAGACACTCTCCAAGGAGTGACAGGACCAATAACTGACTTCCCAGGAACGGTTTCTGGTCATAGGGAATGGTCGAATCGTGGGCCGTGGTGTTTGATCACGGGAACATGCTGTCCATCAGGATTACAGTGGCTGCCCCACGGATGAGAAATGGCACCTGCTGTTATCGTGGATTTGTCTTCACTGAGGGCTTCGTGGCCGAGAAACAGGCAAGAGCTCCTGCTCACCAGCCAACATGTCCACATGGGAGGGGGGACTTGTCGGTAAGCTGGTGTAGGCACTCACTCCACTGGGATAGATGGATCAAGCAAGGAGTCAGAAAACGTCTGGGTGGGGTGGGTGGGGTTGTTGACAGCAGAGAATCGGATGAAACTGATGCCCCGGACGTGAGTGTTTCCAGAGAACTTCCCGTGTTGTTTACGCACATCCAGTACCAGGACTGTCGTCAATGCCAATGTTTACCATGTGTTCTGCTGAAATCCAACCCAGCCAGATCTCTCGCTCTCTCTCTCTCTCTCTCACACACACACACACCGCAGGAGTGCCGTGCTGGAGGTGTATCCAGGCACCGAAGCCTTATTAGCCCACCTTTAGGTGACAGGCCACTGACGCAGACACCAGCAGAGCCTCCCAGACGATGGACCAGCTTGGGAGATGCTGCAGTGTCTTTCCATTCTCACAGCTCGGTAGAAATCCTCCAGGCTCGGGCCACAGCGGGCAACACTGAGGGGCAGCACTGACCTCACCGGCTACATTCCACTTTTCTTCTTCCTGATCCCAGAGTCCATCACTATGAAAAGTATCAGGACATCGACTACTACCCATCTCTCACTATGCTCTCAAAGACCAGAGACCAGCATAACCAGGCCAACAAGGGCCCCAAGCGCTCGGATTACGGAAGTGTGAGGGAGATAGAGGTTGCCCTTTTTAGGGGATTAGATGCAGAGGAGGAGATGTGACCCTGCCCCCTCCCCCCAGCATCAGGAACATGTACTCTCTGCCTCTCTGCACACAGGCAGATGAATTTCACACGTGGATGAGAGCCAGTGAGTGCCCCCCCCCCAGTCCAATCTGACCGGTGGCTAAACTCCCACAATGGCTGAGCATGCAGAGATGTATGGGGAGCGTGTGAACAAACACGCTTTCAGCTACTGGACGCATGTGGTTCTGCTCTTCCAGGCCGCAATGCTGAAGATTAAAAACACAGCATTTGACCTTCTGCTGTTTCATCCATCAAAACAAAGTGGACAGAAAACAAGGGGGACTCTGGGCTACTGTTGTGTTTCATTTGACCCTGAGGCCTGGGCTTTTGGCCAGGGGCTAGAGGCTTTGGCTAAGGGGACGACAGTGCTATCATATGATCTGACAGACGTTGGCCTCTGGAGGCCAGAAGCTCAGCAGCCTTGTAGCTATGAGCTTGTAGCTTCTTCAAAAAAATAAAAAAGTTGTCATTTTACGTCATTCTTCCATAGCACAGGTTTTCAAATCTCTGGGGGTATTCGTGTCCCCCACCACAACGACTCCCCGACCCTGGAAGTTTGCCACAGTCAACAGCATTTCCTGGGAGACTCTGCACTGCCCTGTTCCAAAGAGGCTCCTTCCCCCTTTCAGAATCTTTGCTATGGATGTGCAACCACATGGATCTTGACAGGAAAAACAAACAGAAAGGCTACATGACATCTCACGACTGAGTACTTAAGTGTGGCGTAAATGAACTATGAAATTATGAAGTGAGTTATCAGGCAGCTCCTGTGTTGGGTGTCAGCTCAGAATCCTGGGATTACAGGTCCTCCACGGGAGGTGACTCCCTGTTAAAATTTTCCATCTACTCATCTGACTACGAGGGATTCAAACCTCAGAGGACTCTGTACTCACTAATTTGAACCATCAGATCAACAAAGTGGTATCATTTACAGGGCACAGTGCTAATGCTAACTGTTTTGCTAACGACGCCGTCTCACTCACAGCGCTAATGCTAACTGTCGTGCTAACAACGCCGTCTCACTCACAGAGCTAATACTAACTGTTGTGCTAACGATGCCGTCTCACTCACAGTGCTAATACTAACTGTTGTGCTAACGACGCTGTCTCACTCACAGCGCTAATACTAACTGTTGTGCTAACGATGCCGTCTCACTCACAGTGCTAATGCTAACTGTTGTGCTAACGACGCTGTCTCACAGTGCTAATGCTAACTACCGCGTCGACAACGCCGTCTCACTCACAGTGCTTTAACATCAGCAATGCTACAGCTTTTAAAATAAAAAGTAAAAGTTGTTTTAAAAGCCTTAATTTATATCAGAAAAATTGTTTGCTCAGGATTACTGATTTCGTTCTTTGAAGGTAAATTTCTAGACTAATTGCAGACCTTACCTATCTCTGCTATAAATGACTTGGCTTTAAAAAACAGCTGAATCACACTGATAATGTGTCTGGTATTGCTGTGTAACACACAAAAGCTTGTTTTAAGTTAACATATCAGCAGAGTTTAAAAGGGAATATTCTAGAGAAATCCAATAACATGCATGTCACCGTTGCACATACGTTATTGTACTATGAACTTGCAGAGAGAGGCAGCCTCCATTTTCCTCGACGCCTGCATTGTAGTGATCATCTGAATATGCATTATAGAATAAGAATTCATCAGAACCTACGTGGCAGTTCACTACATGTGATACACGACATTTTGGAAAGCCAGGCACATTGGAATATGCGCAGTAAACGCAAGTAATTTTGCAAAAATGAACAAAGAGTCTTGTTTTATGAAGTTCCAGTGTGGTAGCAGAGTAGCAGAACTCCGACCCATGAAGGCTCACTGTCTGCCACCAAACCCCAGCTTCTCTGCATGTTCCATCTTCACAGGGACGATTGCGGGCAACCGGGAGGACGGCTCTGTACTCATCCATCTTTGTCAGCTCTGTGATGCAGCACACTATGCTTAGTCAGGAGCGTGACGACGATGCCGTAGTCTAGGCCAGCAGGAGACGCCGTGGCCTTCGCCCCCTAACGCACGGCCCGGTCTCAGCAGAGCAAACAGCACAGAATGCCAAAGTGCCAAGATTCTGGCCTGAGGATGGGTAATGGGCTGCAGTGCATGCTGGGAAATGACAGGAAGCAGGCTGGCCGCTGCCCACCGCGCGTGCTTCATGGACGCGTCGGAGAGCACAGACTGCTCGGCGCCCCGCTCCAAAAATAGAAAATCGATGCACCCCCCGCAATCTTCTGGGATGTGGCAGAACCAGAGTGCAGGGATTGGGCGGGGGTCGCCTCCCCCACCAATGAGGCACGTGCTCTACTCTCTTCCCCCCCCAGCAAGGATTCCCCGAGGTGCACAGCACGGGTGTAAACATCTCTGTACTGCAGCTGGGTAATGATGCAGCACCCAGCTCTCGGGAAACAAAAACCCTGACTGAAAGCGACTTCTGAGAGCGCAGAAGACACAGCAGGGATGGATCTGCGTCTAAGAACATGCACACCGACAGAGGAAGCCCTCAAAGGGGCCTTTGAACACTCAGTTCTTCCGCCTCTCGTCCTCCTTTCTCCCACAGGACACCATTGTGAAAGAGGAGCTCTGAGCTCAGCGCTCTAATCGGAGCCCCCACCCAAAGGGGCCCAGCAGGCCGCAGACCCCGGGCTGCAGCCTCTCCATGCGCATACAGGCTGCCAGCAGCCAGGCACCAATTCATTACTTGCTCACGTCGAGTTTCCCGGGCCTCTGTGGAAAAAGAAAGCATAGAAAGTGTGACCTATTTCCTCCTGCGCTTTGGCTGACCCCAGCCAGGCCTGCGCAGCTGCTTCTGCAGGCCAGGCTCCCCTCACGCCTGACCGAGAGGCTTCCCCAGGCCGCGTCCCGATTGGCCGGGCACCACCGCAAGCAGGCTGACGAAAGCGGAGATAGGGAGCTGGCCGTCCCTTTATGGGGGGGACAAAGAGCTTAAAGAGATGGACTCATTACCTGAAGGTTGCTGGCTCAGGTTCCAGAGAGGGGCTTGGCTGCTGAACCTTTGAATAAGGCGATTAAGCAGAATAAAGGAAAACTTCTGGCAGCACAAATGGGTGAAACATCAGGTTGTTTTGTATAAAATTACAATAAAGCAGCCAAAAACTTGTTAGTGCTTTTGGCCTCATGCAGAAAGACTCAGTGATGCTCAAAGAACAGTATCTTTAATGTCATTGTATACATAGAAAGACAACAGGTTCCCTATTATACAGACTCTTTCAAGTGTCTATCTCACCATCAGCATCACTGGAGTACAAGAGACACCATCTGTGAGACGACCTTTCAAAAACAAAATACTTTCATCAGTTACATAATGAGATCACTTTTGATCACAGGGTTACACAACATTGTCACAGGTTTTGGACTCCAGTGCCCTAAACGCGACGTCGGTCTTTTCTAAAAGGCCTCCAGCGTTCAGCCAGCAAATGCACCACACAGCTCTTGGCGGAACGAGCAAGCCGCGCAGGTGAGCGAGTGGCTCCGGAAGAGGGGGCCCCCCTGGGGGAGTGGGCCGTGTGGGGCTTGGCAGGCCAGGAAATTAGGGTGTTTAAAGTATGCAGAACTTCATTAGTGTCCAGTGAGGGTGGGGGGGTTGGGGATCAGGTGATAAGGGAACCCAGAACCCTCAGATGACCAACCGCACCCGGTCTCTGCTTCTGGATGCAGCAAGATCCAGTTCCAAGGGGAACCAAAGAAGTTTTAAAAAAAAAAAAAAAAAAGGGCCCTAGATTTAGCATAAAAAGTATATTTGAGGAGGATACAGAGTTACCATAAAATATACCATAAAGACGACAGAGATGGATTTGGCTTCAGCGACCCGGCTCCCGTTACCGTGCTCTTCCTGAACGGACCTTTGAGGCTCCTTGGGTCTATTCATCACGGCAGAGACTAACGGGCACCTAGGGCAGGAAGGATCTTCTGGAAAAGCGGAGGGGAGGCCAATGTCAACCGGAATATTAGGGACAAAAACAGAACTGAGGCATCCGCTGAAATTCAGTTGTTGCTGTGCCTGGGGGACAAATCAAAACTGATGGTCATTAAAATGGGCCTCGGTCAGACCTTAGGGTCCCTGCTTCGGCAGAGCAGAACCCCGTTAGATGCTTCCAGGATAACAGTGCAGTAGGAGACAAGGTCAGTCTTGTTTTGACGGCCACGCTCTTAAGGTACAAAATGCTCGGTGTCACAACTAGGGGCGTCCTGACGGATCCAGGATACTCTGCCATAAACAGTGTGTACGCTGTTGCAGCTAACAGTGCCGAACTCGAACAGCTGAAATTCTCAGGAATATTTAAAAAAATAAAAAATAAAAAAAAAACAGAATTAAGGGCTGTTTCTAATGGAAAGTAGGATGCAGAAGGAAACCAACGACATTGATGTACTGGAATATCTTTAAAAACAAAAGGCACAGCACACTGTAGATTAGCACACAAAGAAAAAAAAAAACTACAAAAAGATTCTACTTGGCATTACAGCAATTATCTGGCAGGAAAATGGTTAAACGTTACAGCACAATACACCCTTTCGGAAATCCAACTGCTAACTATTACAGTCAACTGCTTAAAGCTGCAGCACCCTCTGCTGGCTACATAATCACATTACATTGTTAATGTCTGCCAAAATGTGGACCAAAGTGGACTTTTGAATTAGTTTAGATCAGGGTTCTTCAAATCTGGACCTCGATTGCAAATCCGTTTTTTTCCAGTTCTCCCAGGTAGTTAGTTTAATAATTACTGATTCTGATTGGCCAGAGGCTTCACACCGGGCTCACAGGTAGAGGAAGGCTGGAAAACCAGCAGTGCTCGCCTTGGACCTCGAGGACCATGATTAGAATAGCCGTGGTTCAGATGAACAATATTGATTTCAGAATGTTTCATTATCAATACATGGTTCAATTACACAGAAGTTGATTAAAAAAAAAAATTATACACAACATTGAATATTACAGGCTGTACCAGTCAGATTCAAATCTCCTGTTGTCAGTGTGGACACAATCTTTTCTCTCCTCATGTCACACAGCTCATGCATGAGACATTTATAAAGTTAAACTCTGTTCATAAAATACACATTTAAAAATGCTTCCCTATAACACTGACCAGGATTAGTGGTTAGAAGACAGGATTAATGAATCCAAATTAAGTAAACCCAGCGCACACTGAGTGCCAGGCTCAGCACTGAGCTGCAGATCTGCATCACATGAAATCCTATCAGAGAACAGTAAAAATATGCGAGGTTGGGTCCCTGGACACCTCACTTGGGCTTCTTGTCTGTATGCAGCGTCACAGAACCTTGTAGCTGCTCTCCTCTCCACTGGCAGTGTTTCTCATATGCGCACATCCCACACTTCCACGCCTCCTCGATGTCCACTCCCCTCGGCTCCCGCCTGCCGGTCCAATAGGACAGGAGATTGCGGAGCTCCGCCCTCAGCAGGTCCTCGTCGAATGGGACGTCCTGACTCCCCAAGGCCAGGCCGGAGTCCTGGTGCCGGTACTCCAGGCGTAGAACGTCGATCCCCGGCAGCTCGCAGTAGCGGAGGTTGAGCAGGAGTACGTCGAGGAGGTCTCCCAAGGTGGTCACCTGGAAGCCCAACTTCCCTGCGTGCTGCAGTACTGCAGCCCCCAGCGGCTGCTCCAGACGCAGCCGGAGGTGCTCCACAAAATCGTCCCTGGTCAGAAACCCGCGGACCAGGCCGTCGAACAGGAGCTTGTAGAGGCCCACCTGCATCACAGAGCCAGCCGTGACTGCCACACACATACGACACTCCCGGCCTGGAAACGAGAGGGCGTCAGCCTACCTGTAGCCGGTGGCCCTTGGCCTGGGCCTCCCTGGGAAGTGAGCTGTGCCTTCGGGTCTTCAGCTCACTCAGCACCAGCTCTCCCCTGTCACTGTAGTGCAGCTCATCAATGACACCCACCATGTAGACCCCCTCCAGCACACCGAACACAGGCAGCTCACGCACAACACCCCCTGTGGAGCCCAGTGAGGGGGGTGGGGATGGTACAAGTCAGGTCGAGGCCTGGATTGGACTCTCAGTGCCACCTGGGTCATGTGGACGTTCCATCTCCTCATCTCTGAATCCTACCTGCCTGCAGGACTGGAATCATGCCCAGCAGATTAAGGAGGTTGATGGCCTGTCGATCCTCCCTGGTCACGGCCCGAACAGGGACCACTTCATGGACCTCCAACTCTAGGGGGGGGGGGGGGGGGCAGCAATGATTGTGGAGAGAGAGCAAGAGAGAGGATGTTGCATCATATACTATACGGTTTGTGCCTGTCTTCTATGGCTAAACTGAGGCAGTGATGAGTCACATTTGCCTTGTTTCACGCTGCTTTGTAAGGTCTTCTGTTTCCAGTAAACAGCCGTATAAGATTAAAGCATTTTATAGTAGCATTTACTCCTTTATAGTTATTACATGGCTGTCAAAACATCAGCTTCTCCCGTTTGTCCAAAAGCATGACAAAACTGGCAATTCTGAGGCTGCGTCATTCTGAGGCTGATCAGGTTCCTGCAGTCACCAGAAAGCCAGAGTTTCCTGCTTTGTCTAACAGAGTAGGAAAGTACTTCTGCTGTAGATACTGTATATACTACCAAGTGAGACATGAATGAATTAATCAAGGGATTAAGTCAAGGGAGGTGATGTTACACTTATATAATTCCTTGGTAAGACCCCACCTAGAATACTGTGTGCAGGTTTGGTCACCATACCTCAAGAAGGACATTGCTGCCTTAGAAAAGGTGCAACGAAGAGCTACGAGAATGATTCCTGGTCTTAGAGGAATGTCTTACGAGGAGAGGTTAGCGGAACTGAATCTGTTCAGCCTTGAGCAAAGGAGACTAAGGGGGGATATGATTCAGGTCTATAAGATTCTAACGGGTCTGGATGCTGTTCAGCCAAATGACTATTTCAATATTAGTCTAAATACTAGAACTCGTGGCCATAAGTGGAAATTAGCGGGAGAACATTTTAAAACAAATTTGAGGAAGCACTTCTTTACACAGCGTGTAGTCAGAGTATGGAATAGTCTTCCTGCTATTGTAGTGGAAGCTAAAACCATGGGTTCCTTTAAATCAGAGCTAGATAAGATTTTAACAACTCTGAGATATTAGCTAAGTTCTCCCCAAACGAGCTTGATGGGCCGAATGGCCTCCTCTCGTTTGTAAATTTCTTATGTTCTTATGTTCTTAATGAATAACTGCGTTTAAGTGTCATGGCACAAGGTACAACAAAATTGGAAGACACTTTTTTTTGTACCAACAAGGATAAAGAGGAAGGATACACAATACAGAAGAAAAATGAGAACAAAATATAAAAAACAGAAAACGGAATATAAAATATAAAAAGGAGTGTGAAGAATAAAAATGTAAAATGTATGAATAAATAGAATTGAAGTAGGTGCTTAAAATCATTGATGTATTACATATTCTCCTTGTGATTCAATAATATGAAAATACTGCACATTTCAGCAGGTGGAGTAATGATCCTATTAAATGCTCATAAAGCATTAGACCTGAATCAATTTACTTAACTGTTCTATTTGTATTTAAGTGAAGGAAGAAGGGAGCGGGAGATTGATAGACGGATGCAGCGCCAGTAGTAATGCAAATATTGTACTGTTCTGTTGTGCTAAAGAGGGAGCTGAGCTGAGCTGGATGGCAAAGCATTCAATTTACCGGTTGATGAACATTCCTACCCTCACCTATGGTTGTGAGCTTTGGATAGTGACCGAAGGAATGAGATCGTGGACACAAGCCGCCAAAATTAGCTTCCTCCGCAGGGAGCCTGGGCTCAGATGAGGAGATCGGACATTCAGGAGGGGCTCAAAGTAGAGCCGCTGCTCCTGAGTTAAAAGGAGCCAGCTGAGGTGGTTTGGGCATCTATCTAGGATCCCTCCTGGGGAGGTGTTTCGGGTATGTCCAAGGAGGAGCCCCTGGGACAGACCCAGGACATGCTAGAGAGATCACGTCTCTCGGAGGAGCTGGAGGAGGTGGCTGGGGAGAGGGATGTCTGGGCATCCCTGCTTAGACTGCTGCACCTGTGACCCGACCCCAGATCAGTGGCAGATAACACATGGATTTATTTGTATTTATGAGTTCCGTTTTATTTGCTTTCGATAAGAGTTTTTCAGGTTTGCAGTATCTTCCCCCACTGTGACAACTGCGAAGTGTTGGCACAGAGGTCATCAACTGATAAGAGAGACACGTGGGGTAGTGCTTCCCTTCTCACACACACCACAGCTGCTTTTTGGTGCTATTCTTTTTACAGGGATTGGTGTGTGATGTCACCGTCACGTGAGGGAACGACACCCGACATCCTAACCAACACCCAACCGCCCAGGAAGCACCTGTTTTACTGAATGCTGTAAACAATGTCATCAGACTTGCAGTACATTTAAACTGGAACGCTAAAAAAAAAAATAATAATAATCAAGCAAGTAAACAATAAGCCATGTGACAGGCGATTACCTCTGGCTAGGTGAACACTCGCCCCAGCCTTCACCTCCGCACGCTCCAGTTCTCTTTTCGCGACAAGAGGCAGCTCCAGCGAGTAGACTGCTTGCATCTCACACCACGTCTGCTTGCACAGCATCGTCACGTTCAAGGACCGGCGGAAGAAGCGCTCCATGGGAGTAGAAGCTGGATCCCGCTTCCTCTTCGGAGTCGGACATGGTCGGTTTTCTTTCACCGTAGCCGACACTGCAAGACCTGTCCCCTTGGCTCTGCAGTGATCAGAATGATACAAACTGAGTGTTACTGGCTTTAATATGTAGCAGTTTCACACTAGAAAAAAAAGAATGAAGGGAAACAGCATTAACTTTTTAGGATAGAGACTGAAGAACATTTATATAAAACACTTACTGTGAGAAACCTACCTCTCACTGGCAACATCGCGCTTCTCAGAGACTCCACAATCATGCGAGTCTGGGCCGGGAATGATCGATTTAGGCTCTGAAATATTTTTTAAAAATCTATTTATACAGCTATTCTCACGCACGAATGTAACGTGAATAGCGTGATGTATTACAAGAGATTGCGAGTATGCTAGTTAGTCCAGCTTGGTATTACATTGCTTATTGCCCGTTTTTGATCGGTGTGACTACGCTCTTAAAATTCTGTACACCCCAAAGTTGAAGTTTAGCTTCGAATTAAGAAATCTGCATTCTCCCTAGTGCAGCTTACCTGTGAGTAGGTGCTCTGACTGAACGTCCAGCAGTTCCGCGTCACTTATATTACCCCAAACAAGATCATCCGTCCCCTGCGATGCGTGCGAATTCATCTTAACTTAGAGTTTTCTTTAATGTAGTAGTGTTTATGCACGAAATCAGTTTTGTTGCCTATGTACGCGGCAAGGTTGTATGTCAGTATAATACATGCTACTAAGATGCGTCCCCTTAACAGGATGTTATGCCCGAACATGTACTTTAAGACACGCCCACCTGAGGAACCGGAAGACGAATTAACCAATCAGGAGTGAAGCGCGGGCGGTTTCCATGGAGAGGCATCCCGTTGGCACGCGAACGTACTTCTGTAGAGGCAGAGGAGTTACGACTCAATATACTGCTAATTACACATTGAATAGTTCTCTCTTCGGTTAACAACTACATTATACAGCACAATAAATCGCATGTTCTGCCCAGATATGGTAACGTGGGAATATGTTCCGTTAAAGGTACTTCAGTCATCATTACTGGTATACAAAGCTGACTTCAAAAACTAAAAACGACCTAAAGACGTCTTATTTCAACTAAACAGCGAAGTGCAGAAACATGGCCAAGCTCTGAAACCTCACTTTGTGAAGGAGCTAACGTCAATGTAGACGTCTGCCCAACAAGATAAGCCGGGAAAATCCAGGCAACGCAGTTGCATTTCAGCGACAAACCTGCATTCAGAAATGAATTCTTTCGTAGATCGCAATGGATCTGCGGCAGGCAAGGGGCTGGAGCAGGGGTATCTGCTGACGGGGAGTAAAGAAAATGGAAAAAAGACTAAAAAAGGCAAAATGAAAGGAAAGAGACTTGCTAACGAAGCGGAAAAGGGGTTTAATTACAGCACGCCGTCGAACTCAGATGATATAGGTTTGTATTATACCGCTTTTTCTTTTTACATATAGCGATGTTAATCCCTGCTATTTTTTTCCATATTGTTGTACTTAAAATTCAGTTGCTTGTGAATTAGTAGTTACTGGATAAAGTTTAAGACAAAGTGGCGTTATGATGGGATTGAATCGATCGTTAGGTGGAAAATATCAATGTAAGCAGTTCCTATCTTGTAAAGCGGATAGCCTGGAACCAAGATACACAATGATATCATAGCGGTAACAAAACGAACCTCGGTTTCCCTCCGCAATGCACTAGATAAACAACGGACAGAACAGACAACGCTGCCGTTGGAGAAGCAGAGGAAAGCTCAAGCCAAGGTTAAAGGTCAGGCCAGACGTCAAGCAACGAAGGGACGCAAAAAAACCAAGAAAAGAGCAGTGGTGCTTGTGGAGCCTGATGCTATTCCAGTTCGCCATCAAGACGCTGAGTCAGACCTAAGCAGTCAGATCCAGAACAGCCTCCGTTGGGAAGGTGTCCTGGAAGACCCGGTGGCTGAGCAGGAGAGGATAGAGATTTATAAAGCTAATCGCAGGAAACGTTACCTGGCTGCGCAGCGCGCATGCATGCACGAAACACCCGCAAGGAGCGACCTCGCACCCATTTGAAAAAGAGCAATTAATGATTACGTACATTTAGGGTGACCAGATAATACATGCCGGGAAGGGCACTTTGATTTAAGACTTACTTTGTAAACTACCATTTCAAATAAAAGGACCTGGAATTCACTTAAGCACCGAGGTCTTGTTGTGTGCTGATTGGTCAGTCTCCAGTCCCATGTGCCGCTCATGTTAATATGAAACAGCTGGATGGGTCTTTCAATCAGGGAAATAATCCAGTAAAAGCACAAGAAGATCTGAACTATTCAGCCACGCACAGGAGTCTTTGATTTAGTTTGTAAAACCCGAAGTACCTCAAAGTGCCCTCTGCGACATGGACTCTCATGGTCACACTAGTACATTATCACCATCGCGTGGTCTGTCAGTATCTGTTTCTTGCACTGGATTGTGGGAGGTCACCTGTTTACATGTCACAGGAGTGATATGTATTGATTAAAATTAAGAAAATTGACAGTGTGGAAAGGTTTTCAACTGTAATTTGAATACGCTTAGTTTTATAAAATTTCGATAAGAATGGTTTGATTAGGTGTTAACTCTCCAGAGGGGGCACTATCACATACAGTAAAGCGTACTTCCTGGGAAGTCTGTAAAACATTTACGATTAAGATTCTAATTTTCTTCTTAAACCACAACATCTCCTTAAGATAAAAGTGTATAAGTATTGCAAATTCCCTTAGTTTCTGAAACATCGCAAATATTTGGTAATGTTTTTATTTAGACATTGTTTAAAACAATTATAAAAACGACAAAGAAAAGTTGCATTACACACTAAAGACGCTAAACAGAATTACGTTAAGTTATAATTATGTATCAGATAATTTTGATTTATAGAACAATTTATGCTCCCTAACCCACAGTGGTTCCTAAAAGGGAGGGGAAAATCTATCGTTAAATATGGAGTTTGCAGCAAACGCTTCACTTTTCATATCTTTCTATGTGAAGTGCATAAATGCAGTTCAGCATTTACAATGCAAAAGAAACACGACATTAGAACAGCAGAAAATGACCTTGTGCAGATATATAGTAAAATCTCATTTAGTTTCAAAACTGTGTGCATAATTATTTACACTTAAGCACGTGACACTTCACCCAGTTATTCAAAGACGCCCAACCTCATTTGGCGATTTTACAAACGTGTTATACTCTGTGACAATATCCGGCTTGTCGATTAGAAAATAAAACTACCCGAAACAATTCATAAAAACGAACAAGACTTTGAAAGCAATTTAAAAGCACTTCCAGCTGCGTTTCAGATAACTACACTCCAACATCGATGGTCGATCCCACCAGGATGCCCCTCTAGGAGGGTCTGGCTTCAACCTTGTAGACCTCCCGAAATCTGGGGAGAGATCATATAGTGACGTGCAATGAAAAGGACATATACAACGCTGGTAAGTTGAACAGATGTTGCCACACCAATGCATCCCACCTCCAATTAACATCGTGATTCTGAAAGGTCCAAGTCAGAAGTTCTGTGGTGCAAAGTTACCAAACCAGGAAGTTTTCAAAACAAGTGCAGTTCTCCCACCGCGTGAGGTCTCCACGACTGCAGTCAGGCCACCTCATCACTCAGCCAGAGTCCCCAGTCACAGCGGTGTGCTTCTTCCGTCCATTCGGACGAGCCTGCTGTCCGTCGACTCCAGCTCCACGCTGGACAAGAAGCGCTTGGCCAACCGCCGCTCGTCGTAGTGTAGCTCAGTGGTGAAAATCGTTTGGGCGTGTTTGGGGTACACGATGGTGGTGCTTCGGTAGCGATGCGCTCGCTGGCGGGGCTGGAGCTCCAGGAGAGTCTTGTAGCGCCGCCAGGTGCTGTGGGGCAGCGCCAGGACCGTCTGGCTGCACCACTCCAAGCCCAGACCCGTGGGCTGCAGGCGCACGTCGTGGATGAAATGTCGATCGGAGTCGTAACGCACCGAGGAGGTGTATCTGCAGACAGAGACTGAGCATTACACCCTCATCTAAGTTACTAGCTAGAACTACTTAGGGATTCTTGGTGTATATGTATGAGTTACTCAAACACCTTAAAGCCGGAGGCGCTTCAGGGCAGGGAATGCATATATGTTGGCCGCAAATGCAAATCTGAGGCAAATTACCGGATTTCTTTCGGTGGCAAAGGAACAAGCTCAATCCCCTCTCCATAAGACAAAGGAAGCAGTTGTGTGGCCGGTTCCTGAATGCCTGGAGCCTGGAAGTTTGACGAAGAAATAACAGGCGGTAGAATGCAAGCAAGCCACCAGATTTTAAAGTTTACCCGACGTTTCAAAAACGTGGATCTTACGCACCAATTGCTCCGCTCTGCTTTCATCTTCGGAAACTGGGCTCTCAAAGCGCCTCGCCGTACTAAGAGCCTGCAGCCAGGCGCTGGGGCTCGGGGGCAGCCCGGAGTCCGGGCTGTCAAGCGTCCTCTCCGCCTTGTAGCTCATTCCCAGGGGATCGTCAGCGGACACATTCTGCAAGGTTAGCCTTCCCACCATTGTTTTTGAAAAACTGCCTTGAATTTAAATAAACCCGTTAAGGTTCATCCAAGCACTACAGTTCACTTAAAACGAAGAACGCTTATAATCGAAAGATTCAAGTAGTCAGTATACAAGCAACAGAAAAAATAAGCCAGATCCTTCCATATGCAGCAAAACTGCCAGCTTTCGATTATATATTCGCGATTTATGCGCCCAATGAAGAAAGCACCCTTTAACTTAGTTTAATACGTACTTTTTAAAAACATATAGTCAAGTAAACTTTGATCACACTCCACATTCTCTCTGTAATGCATCCAAATTTCGCATTGGTGTCTCAGGTTTGCAGTGGATCCTCTACAGCGCTCAGTCGGTGCAGCTTACCCGCTTGTGCGGACTCTCCCCTTTCAAAGGCGGTCATTGTTTTACAAGCAAATGTGGGCAGGGAAACGCCTTTTAAAATGTCCCTCCTACCACTGATTGGCGTGCCAGACTCCGAGAAAGAAAACGCGCACTCTCGCCATGGGAATCCTCTATACACGAAAAAGATATGCACACCGATTACACTAAATAGGCTTTACATTATACACCAAAAATGTCATCCTTTGGAATTTTTATTAGTGTCCCGTAATGTACAGCAAGCACATGTGAGCTACATTTCTGTTGTCAAAGGAATTTTCATTTTACAAAGGAAAGGCAGGAATGTATACAGCAACAGCCATGAACTAGCAGGTCATTATTAATCATTCATCGGAACCCCCACCTTCATAGGGCAAATTGATAACCCTAAAGGGATTTTAAGCATCTTCCTCTGGGCAGGGGTCACAAATTACGGTCCTGGGAGGCCAGAATCCAACACAATTTGCAGATCTCCCTGTTCAAACACACATATTAAACCTGGCAATTAACTGATTATGATGTGTTTCAGCAAGGAAATCGGCAAACCGTGTTGGATTCTGGCTCTCCCGGACCGAACTGGGGAACTCTGTCTTACGGTATTGAGTATGACACAAGAATGAAAGCCGCCTTTCTGCCGTGTGGCCTGAGAAGTCCAGAGGCAGGCACTGGTGCACCAGAGCAAAACCCAGTCTCTTTCTGCATGGCAGGGATGCAAAATAGGTTTCCAAAAATCACCTGGAACTCCCAGCAAACAGTGCACATTTGTGCTTTGGGCCTTGAATGGATTCCCAGCTTTCTGCTGGGTTCAGAGGAATCAACACGGACATCTGTGGCTTTTTGTTACTTTCCTCATAGTCCAGGAAGTCTTTTTGATTAACTGTGCCACAGTGAAACAGGTTACGTTGCCGGCAGGGTACGTAGGGGTTAAACAAATGCGCCCGTTAAGGGACTCCTGATAGGCGCCAGGTCAGTCCCGCTTTTCCAACTTTTTGAGCAATCAAGAAAACTAGAGGAAATGAGGAATAAAGAGCCGCAGTATCAGGAAAAGGACGCCCCCAGGTGTACAAACAGCGATAAAGGTACGGGACGTGCACACGGCTTCCAGCAGAAATGCCTGGTGGCTCACTGGGGACTCATTTGGAAGGTCATGGAGATCTTGCACTATCTGCCCCCTTCGAAGCATAAATGAGTCCCCAGTAACCAGTGATTTTAAGAGTGAAAATATCAAGTTAAGGAAGATCAAAGGTCACAGGAAATGGGGGAAAAAAAAATCAGATAAACAGCCCAGCTTCTCTAATTCAATCTGGATAAAGGAAATCTGTGAGATATGTATGCACTACAAAAACACTAAAGCAATATACAACAAAGACTACAATAAATAAAAATGGTGTCATTTAAAAGACATTTCTCAGTGTCAATCAAACCCTTTTAAAAAAACAAAACAAAACAACAAAACAGGACACATATGCTCAGCCGTCCCAACTTTAAAGTCTCTTCTTAATTAGCTTCTCCAGTTTCCGAATGCGGGAGGACTCTTGTTCGGGAGTCGGGGCATTGAAAGACAGAGTCGGCCCGCTGTCGCCCCCTGATGGCGGAGTTGGTAGCCTCTGTCTGAAGAGGTCCAGCATGCTGCTCTGTTCACTGCGCTTCAGGGCCTGGGGGAGAGGACGGGGGACAGGGAAAATGCGTTAGGCCTTTATATATGAGGCTAAGGGGAAGCAACCTGCAGGCTGGTTCTTTAGAAAGCAAAGGGGCAGCCATCATCCCCCACCCCCGAGACCGACAGCCGGAAGTCCCCCAAGCTTGCCTTCATGTCCAGAATCTTCTGGAAGGTCTCTGGGTTACCGTCGGCGAGGAGCTTGATGTAGTTGTCCACAAACACCACTGGCGGCTCATGGGGGGCCATGACCACCTGGAAGGGGGGGAGGTGGGGGGCTCACATTAGCTTTCGGCATCTCCATCCGTTACTCCGACTCCCAGGGGCAGCATGGAATTGCTCTCGATTTAAAAGCCGGCAGCGTGCCAGCAGCTACACTGCAGACAAAGAGCAGCTCTTGCAGGTTATATTTAGGGGCGTTTTTACAGACCAGTCACTCCACACTCCAGCGAGTGTGAATGAGCATCAGTGGTAATTCTTTTTCAGTATAATGAGGGTCAATTGGCATCAGTTTTTAAATTTTATTTATTTTTTGAAGTGCCTCATGCCTGCAGGAGCCAGTCTTGCCATGTCTGTAGAAGGTCTGCGGGGCTGTGGAAACTGAGATGTTTCTGTTAGCAATCTGAGGAACACATGGCAGGCAGACGCTGGCTGAATGCGATGGCGCGTCCCCCACCGTCCCGTCGGCCTGTTCTCCCCACAACACCGCCTGAAGGGGTGGGGTCATGGCGCTCTACAGAACTACCCAGCCCCCACTGGCCAAATCCCACTCAAAATGGGTGGTTTACCTAGCAACCGGCAACCGTCTTGGATACTGGCCAGAGGAGAGTCTGCAGGGGCCTTCTTGTGGTTAACTCATAAAAAAAAAAAAAAAAGTGGGAAAAGGGCCCAGCCTGGGGGGGGGGGAGCAGAGTGCAGGGATTCATGGGAAATAGCCAAGTCTCCCCACGGAGATCGCTCAGGTCACTTGGGCGATTGTTAAAGGTCACGCCAGCGAGACGATGGCTTATCAGGGGCATTTTAGGCTCAGGGTGACCCTGCTCACAAGAGCCAAAGGCTACTCTGCTCAACACATTTCGTGAAGAAATTAGAGGTGCTGAGTGGCATCTACCCCATGGGGCGTCATGATAGGCTCATTGATAATGACCTGCTTCTCTGGTCACCGAACGCCATCAAGCCTTCAAAGACAGAGTCTGTGCATGTCACCCTCGTGGCCAAAGCTCCTTCCTCCAGCGAGTCCCTTTCAGCTCCCTTGACACACTCTGTCCTGTGGCTCAGGCTCTGCTGTGCCCCGCAGCCAGACTGCAAGACCGGGGCCCAGCGGGGACTGGCACTCTGAGACCTGGTGACTGTCCCTCGCTGTCTAACTGTTTAACTGTAACATTCCCCACTCTGGGTCCGAATGCCGAGGAGCCGTGCTAGCGGGCAGACCGACGCAGCCTCTGCTCTCCCTGAAAATGGCTGCTCTCCAGCTCAGACACTATTATGTTGTGTGATTTGGATGAAGTGAAATGCTGAAAATAAGCCATTAGGAAGCAGTTTTTCCTCCAGAACGGAGATAACGATCCAAGCGCCCTCGTTATCACCAGGCAACATTAACTCCCATGTCCTCGGAATGGCTTGGCCAGCCCTGGAAGGTGGGTTGACCCGCATTCCGATGCCGGGGTGGAAATTGCTGCTGTCTGTTGGGAACTCTGGCCGGACTCGCCAGCCATGACGTTGTGTGATTAGGGGCAATCCCAGCCTGACCATTAGGGATGTCAAGGCAGAATGCCAAGTAGTTAGCAGGAACAACAGGAAAGGGCTCTAGAGGGGGGGTAACTGGTGCATGGGGAGAGGGGTGTGGGGCTGGAGATATGGGTAGGGGAGGAGGGGGGTGGGGGAAGAAAGAAGGGTCAGGTAGAATCAGAGATTGTGTTTACATGCTGGTGTAAGCCAACCCTGGCTGTGTGTGCATGTGCGCAGGGTTTGTGTGCAAGTGCGTGGCGACTCAGACTTCGGAAACCTAACCCTAACCCTGCAGTGTCCCCCTACCCCACCACATACACATGCACACGCAAATTAATCTGGGGTGACGGGCTGGCTGAACTCCTCCTGAATGGGGTATGAGCATGCCAGTCTTTATGGAAACATTGGGACACAACGCGCTGCTGGGCCACCCAGGGGTAATTTTAGTGTTAGGCTGTTAGCGGTTAGCGTGGCGCTAAGAAGCAGACCTCCAGAACCAGGGCCTGGGTTCTGCTGCCAGTAGGGAAAGGCTGCCATATAACAAGCGCATAGAGCACGAGAAGGATGCGATGTTATAACGTAAAGATAATCGTCAAATAACTCTCTGAAATTCAGAGCGATAATGTCTTCATTCAGCACTGCCTAGAAGCTGTTATTCTCCTCGCTGGCGCTCTTCACGCTTCCATGACTCTCTTGTTTATGGCGTCTGACGCTTGCTCACCTTGAGGATCATCTCAGCCCGCGTCATACCCTTCACCACTATCTTGGTGTAGCTGGCGGGGGCCTTGCGGAGCACCTGGCACCCGATCGACGGCAGGTCCAGCAGGACGGTCTTCAGCGAGTGCGTGTCCAGCAGCAGCTGTTTGGAGAAGCGCACACACATTCAGAGCTGGGACGTGCCCCCCCACGCAGGAGCCCCACTAACATTACAAGGAGCCCGTCTAGCTCACCTGCTCAGCTCCAACCATACTAACAGGTTTACACCTGAACAGGTGGTTGATGAACTTCGGGATGAATGAGCTGTGGGGGCAGAGGACAGGCACACGTTTACTGATGTCCACCATGGCAGATGGGCAGAGGCAGGAGGGCAGAGGCAGGCAGAGGCGGGAGGGCAGAGGCAGGCAGAGGTGGGCAAAGGCAAGTGGGCAGAGGCAGACAGAGGTGGTAGGGCAGAAGTAGAGGTGGAAAGAGGCAGACAAGCGGGAGGGCAGAAGCAGGCAGAGGCAGGAAGGCAGAAGTAGAGGTGGGCAAAGGCAGACAGAAGTAGGAGGGCAGAGGCAGGCAGAGGTGGGAGGGCACTCACTTGATGAACTTGATGCAGAACTGGGTGAAGTACTTGCGGGTGGAGGCTAGGTTGTCGCGGATGATGGGGACGTTCTGCTTGATGTGCATGATGATGGAGGTGACATAGGGACTCTGGTCTCCAACGTGCTCCACACTCTGCCAGGGCATCTGGGATGGGGAGGGAGAGGGTAAAGCACGGTCACCATTGGCAGCAACAGACAAACCAGCAGCAAGACGTCCTTCACTGAACCATTTATCTCTATGGCAACAGAGCAGCTGATCTCCAAACGGACCTGGGACTGGCAATGCCGGGTCTGGGCAAGGTCCATACCTTACTCATGGCAGTGAGGGCCGGGTCACAAGCTGCATCCAGGTCCTGGACCAGCAGCTGGATGCTGTTGGAGATCACGCTACCAGATGTG